GAGATGTCATTAATAATTATTTTACTTGCGTAGTAGAATTTGTTAAACCATGAACCATTTTATTAATATGGGGGTGTATCTCTTGCATTAGTTGATAATTTAATTTTCTTCTGTCACAAATATTTTTATGACAGTGACATTTATTTGTTATTGAGACACCTTGTTCTTTCCACAATTGTGCGGTTCATCCTCTCGGCAATGCCATTTTGTTGAGGAGTCTTCTTAACTGTCTTTTGATGCCGAATACCTTGGCTGCGACAATACTCATCAAATGGCCCAATGTATTCACCACTATTGTCTAATCGGATACACTTCAATTTCTGCTCTGTTTCTCTTTCAACCATGGCCTGAAAATGGTTAAATACTTCTAGAACTTGATCTTTAGTTTTTAGTAGAAAAGCCCAAACTTTCCTTGAATAATCATCAATGAAAGTAACAAAATAAAGTGCGCCACTATGTGTTCTAACTTTTAAAGGACCACAAACATCCGAATGAATCAACTCCAAAACATTTTCTTTTCTAGAAGCAACATTTTTATGAAAAGAAACTCTATGTTGTTTACTCACCAAACAATGAACACAAGTTTTGAGATGTGTACCTTTCAAACCGGGTAGAAGGTCTTTCTTGAACAAAACTTGCAGCCTCTTTTCACTCATATGGCCAAGCCGCTTATGCCACAATTCGGTAGAAGTATCATCTTGAAGTGCATTGACAACACCTTTACAAATTTTTTTTTGCATCGAATAAAGTGTATGAGTCTTCTTACACTTAGCCATCACCAAGGAACCCTTTGTGAGCTTCCATATTCCATCACCAAATTTGTTGTTGTAGCCTTCATCATCTAGTTTCCCGGTAGAGATCAAATTGAGGCGAATATCGGGAACATGCCTCACATCTTTAAGCAACAACTTGCAGCCCAAATTTGTTTCCAAGCAAACATCACCCATGCCAATAATCTTGGAAAAACCTTCATTACCCATTCGAACAGAACCATAATCTCCTTTGATGTAAGTAGTGAAGAAATCAACTCGAGAAGTCACATGAAAAGAAGCACCGGAATCAATCATCCAATTGCTCTATTGGCCCACAAAATTGGTACAATCATCTTCGCAAACGACCATGAGATCACCATTGGTAGTAACTACCGTTGTGTCTTCTTGGTTCTTGTCCACACTTTTGTCACGCCTTTTCTCCTTATTCTTGAGCTTTCGGCATTCTTGTTTCATGTGCCCTTTCTCATAGCAATAATGGCACTCGATGTCTTTCTTTGAAAAAGAACCATCTTTCGATTTATCACGGCTTTGATTACAACCATGAGGAGTCTTACTCCTCCCCCTTGTTTTGCTTCGGCCTCTCACAACGAATGCTTCCGAATGAGAGGAACCTGCTGATTTTCTTATAGTTTCTTCATTCAACAGGCTACTAGTGACTTGACCAATTGTGACAACTCCAT